TTTGATGAGATTCGGGAAAAGTGAAAAGTTATCCTCTCGGTTTATTGGCCCTTTTGAGATCCTTGAGTGGATTGGGGAGGTTGCTTATCGTTTGACGTTGCTGCCACAATTTTCCAGAGTGCATGACGTGTTTCATATTAGTATGCTTCGGAAGTATGAGCCGGATCTATTGTACGTGTTGGATTGGGCTGACTTGGAGGTAGATGAGGATGCCTCGTATGAGGAGAGACCGGTGAGAGTCTTGGATAGAGGGGACCAAGTCTTGCGAGGCAAGACAATTCCCTTAGTAAAAATATTGTGGAAACATCACAGAATTAAGGAAGTGACTTGGGAACGTGAATTGGAGGTCCGAGAGAAATATCTGGACTTGTTTGTTGATGCCTAAACATGCATTGAGATTTTGATTATGTTAATGAAAAACAGAAGCATTGTATATGTTTTAAATTATGAAAACATTGTATATGTTATGGGCATTTTGGAAACATATATTCAATATAAGTATTGCATATGTTTTGAGAATATGGAATATTAAGGGTGTTGTATCACTTTCGGAAGCATTTTATATGTTATGAAAATTTTTGAAAACTCCGATTTTGATTAAACATTGTAAATATTTTGGGAAATTGTAAATGTCTTTTTAATATGGGACTTGTGCATCGAGTCGATGAGAATGGATGACCGGAGAATGGGTCATGGTATTGAATTTGTGAGAATAACATTGTTATGAATGGTCTAATGTTGATTTTGAACTTGATTTGAAATTTCAGGGACGAAATTCTTTAAGGGAGAAGGTTATAGTGATTTCGGTTTTGACCTGTCACTTATTGTATTCCGGACTTGGGTTTATATGGTTTTGAATAGTGATTCATATCTTGTTTCCCTTGTCTCCCATTTATTTTGGTTACCGGGTTGTGGTTGTGTTTGGAACAGGTTGGTTGCTTGTTTTTCCAAACTTTTGTTGCCCAGATTTATACTCCTCTACTCGAGCTGTCTTTCTTGAGCTCGAGCGGGCTTTGTAATTTTTGCTCTTTCGCTCGAGTGGCACTTCTAGCGCTCGAGCCGATTTTGCTAACTCTCAGTACTTTGCAGGTCTGCAAAACTACTAGGAGAGTGTTTTTTATGCTCGAGCAGGTGGGCGCTCGAGTGGCCTTTCGTACGCTCGAGCGTTGGTTTGTTGTCTGCAAAACTTCTAGATGTGTGTTTTCTACACTCGAGTGGAGAATTCTTGCGCCCGAGCGGGTAGCGTTCGTTGTGTCTTGGCGATCTAGCGGCTTTTATTACGCTCAAGCAGAACAACTTTTTTTGTGTCTGACGCTCGAGCGTCAACTCTTCCGCTCGAGCGGACTGTGCGTATATCAGATTGCAAAAATGACTTTTTACATTACTTTTTCAAATCTATTCTTCAAAATGCCATAAAGTGAGACCCTTTCTCTCTAAAACTTACCTTCTCTCTACATTTCCATCTAGATCTAGTGATTTTTCCACCCTACTTCCTTTGTTAAAAAGGTAGAGCTTTTCAAGATCTTCACTTTGATCAGAACAAACTTGGGTTTCGGTGTCTTTGGAGTTTTAACCTTGCTTTGCTCGTCTTCTCTTCTTGAGGTAGGGATTTTCTACACTTTAATATGGTTTTTAACTTAGTTATTTATCGTTGTGTAACAATGATGGGATTTGGATGTAGTTTAGACAAACCTAGGGTTTGGGTATGAAATGAAAAGAGGGATTTCTTTGTGAATGTGAAATAAATGAGTGTGGGGTTTGAATATGAGATCATGTTGTGTCAAAATGGTTGATTTTGATACTTATGTTGATAAGTGGGAAAAGTGGGAGGTTTTGCCCTAATTGAATCAATTGTTATTGTGTATAAATAACTGGATTTGTCATTGAAATGGTGAAATTGAATGATTATTGATATGAATAGTGGGGTTGGATATGTGTTGTCTCATACCTTTGGAAATTTTGAATAAATTATCTGTATTGAGATTGCATATCTGTTTAGAAATATCTATATTGGGTTATCGGTGGGGGATAGTTTTGATTGTTATAGAAATTGCATGTGGATTAGGTGAATTGAAACTAATCTCTTGTTGGTTGTTATTGAATATGACTATGTTTAGATACATTGTATATGTATGATTATTTGGGAGAAGAAAGGGTATGTACTCCAAGTGTGATTATGTGTTTAAATACATTGTATATGTATGATTGTTTGGGAGAAGAAAGGGGATGGACTCCACTGTTTGGGAGGAGAAAGGGGATGGACTCCATTATAATTAAGTTGGTCGGAGTGTCCTGGGTGAAAGTCTCGAAATTTATATATGGGTGCCAATATCGCGGACGAAATATCCATAAAATGGCAGTTGAAAGTGTTTGTGTGTTGATTGTGAAATTATTGAATCATTGAGTTGTAGTCTCATTTGGGTTATTGATAAACAATTAAATTGGCTCATGTATTGAAATGAATTGAAGGAAAATAAAATAGAATATGGACTTGGTATTTTTATGACTATATAAAAGTGTGAATGTTTTATTTCGGGCACTGTATATGCACGTCGCACCTATATCTTTGTTAAATATCATATATTGTGTTAGATTATTGCTACTGGGCTGTGGCTCACCCTATTTGGAAAAAAACATTTTTAGGTAATGATGGCATGCCTCCACCAAGGCAATAGCATTGAAAGGACTTTTGGGAAGCAAGAGCTTCCTTGTTTTGTTTCACTTTTTGTGCAGCCAAAGGCTTTAATTGTACGAGTTAATCTTTTTTGTTGTAACCAAGTCAAGGCTTGGAAAGATGTAAGCCCATAGGGCATTTATTTGTATTAAACACCTTTGTGCTATTAACTCTAAGAAATGAAAGAACATTATACTCTGATTCATGATGTAAACTGTATTTATTATGTGTTGGGTTTATGGTTTATTTTGGGGGCGTTACATGTTAGAAATAAATTTAGCTACACAATAATTATTCACACATCCTTGAAGGGAATTGGAGAAAAAAAATACAAACTATTGTATTTTTCATATTTCAAATGATCAAATTACAAAGTTATATATAACACTCCAATACCCAACTCTTAATATTCTAACATAATAATAATTCTTACTAATATTTAGACGTACATATTTCTCTAATTGTCTTTAAAAGTGAAAATTTTATTATTAAAATATTTAGAGATCAATTTTTATCGTCGCAAGAATAATCATTAAAAGATTGTCCCAAAAAAGTTCTAAAAAAAATTAGGGAGAAATTTTTAAAAATGTTGTTAATAAATGTAATTTTAGAGATAAAATAATTTGGTCTCAAAATGTTTATTTTTTTAGATAAAAAACTTAATCCTAATAAGATAATAATTCATCACTAAATGTATAATTTCATAACTATAAATACAATAAGAAGAAATAAAAATGTTATGATTAGCATAACGACCTAATTTTTTTTCCGAGAATGATAAACACAAAAATATTTACATAATAAATAATTTGAATTATCAAAATAGAATGCATAATGAATCCTAAAGACTTTAACATAATAATAGAGTTTTAGATTTTACAATTGAGAGAATGTCTATCCATATTACCAATGAAATATTAATATGAGATAGTGAACAGAACACGATAAAAAAATGTGAAAAATAAGAGCAAAATGCACTATATAAAACATTTGTTATTTTGTATTTCGAATGCATACTACAAACTCATAATTTTTTTTAATGATTCAAATTTATTTTTTATTTTATTCGTAAATTTCATCCTTTATTAATTCAGTAATACTATGAATTCAAACATAAAAATTTAGAAATTATTCAGAATTTTACATCAATAAATTAGATTCATTTTGCCTTCATTTGGGATGTGGGTTGATTTTTTGACTTTTTGACTTTTTTAGCCTAGGGCTAAAAAGTCTTGTTTGGGATAAATTTTTTAGCTTATTTGACTTTTGTAAGAGAAAAAAATAAAATGATTATAGTTTTGATGTGACATTTTGTCTTATTGATTTTTTAACTTATTTTGTCATTTTGTGACTATTTTAACCCAAAACCAACATGCCAAACATAGCCTTTGTGGGTTCGTTTGAAATGTGGGTTGGCTTTTTAATTTTTTGATTATTTTAGTTTGAGGCTAAAAAGCCTTGTTTGGGATAAGCTTTTTGGCTTTTTTGACTTTTGTGAGAGAAAAAATGAAATAATTATAGGTTGAATGTGACATTTTGTCCTATTTGGCTAAAATAACCTATTTTGTCGTATATAGCTATTTTAGCCCAAATGGGCATCCCAAACCAGGCTTGTGTTTGGATCTCACATTTCATCAATTTAATTTTCACCACATACACCAATTTTTGGGTTATTCTAGATCCTAAATTTCTGGGACCCTAATTTTTTTTGGGTTTCGTTTGAAAAATATATTGACCTTTTGACTTGGGGCTAAAAAGTTTATTTAGATTAATTTTTTTTATTTTTTTTAAAAAAATAAAATAATTATGACATTTTATATTCTTTAATCTGTTTTATTTTTTTATAATTAATTTAGTTAAAAATCAAAAAAGGCTACTTATCAAACGAGCTTTGTCAACAATTTAATCTTCATCACACGAAATGATTATACGCATATTCTGAGACGCGGGTATGTTTGGTTTGAGTTTGGGAGATGAGTTTTAGAGATAAAAAGTATGAAAAGTTGTTTGGTTTGATTTTTTTCAAAAGATGTTTTGGAAAATTATTTTGAGAGAGAGTTTTGGAAAAAGTGATTGATTTGATGTGTATGAGAGATAGATTTGTTTGGAAAACTTATATACCAAACAAGTTTTGAAATTTTTTTTTGGAAAAATTTGTTTGGTTTGATTACTTTTGAAAACTTATTTGTAGAGAATTTTTCTCAAAAATTTTTGGGAAATACAAACCAAACAGGGCCATGATCTGATTCCCTGATTCCCAACTTTTTGCTTTTAAATATGCGAACACTACTGTAAATAAAGTGTGAAAACACAAGTGGGAGAAAAAGATGAAGTCTGTGTTTACTTTTTGACTCTCAACATACTCGTTTCGTTTTGATGCGAAGGTCACTGGAAGTTCCCTCTGAGAGAAAGAGAGAGACTGCATTTATGTATGTAAAATAGAGAGATAAGAGAAAGAGAGGGAACATGGACTTGAGATCTTCTTCATTCCTCAGATACTCTTCTAGAGTCCGGTTCCTCGGCCGCACTTCTCTGCGGCTCTCCAAAACATCGTTTTGGATTTTTTTTTCTTCCCTTTCTTATTTTGCTTTTCCCTTTTCATTTTTGAACCCTAGCCTCTGAAACAGATTAAGAGAGAGGCGACAAAGGCGAGGCAAGGAGAGGCAGTGAGAGACTAACAGGGAGAGGCGGCGAGAGAGGAACAGAAAGGGCGACGAACGCAAGGCGGCGACGAGGTTCTCAGGCACTCTCTTCCTTCCAAGATCTTCCAGCCACCTTCCGAGTTGTCTCTCTCCAAAGCATCCAAGTGGATTTTTCACTTCGATCTCAAAAATGCCTCTTCTGTCTCCCTTGAAGCTTTGAACCCTCTTTGGGCTTACGTTCTCTTCCTTAGGTCACTTTTGGCCCCGAAAGGTCATTTCTCTTCTTTCCTGTGCTTATGCACAGCTTTTAGATTGTGGCTTCTATGATTTTGTTTCCTAATTAAAGTAGTTTGGTTTAATTTAAGTATTAATTTAGTTTTTAGATTGTGGGTTCTAATGTTTTGAGCATGATTCAAGATTTTGGTAGCAAACAAAATGTTGGGGAAAATGGAGTTATTGTCTTCATACTTTGTTTGGTTTGAAAATTGTTAATTTAGTTGCTATGATTTTGAACAATTGCTACTCTGTTAAATGCAGGTGGCAGTTGCCTAATACAGATAGCTCTGTTTTAGCATCCACTGCCAATGAATTACGCCGTGACAAATACACCCCTATTAATCCTGAGAAGTTGAAGGTTGCAGTTGTAGGGCTATCACCAAGGGTGTTAAAATCAGGATTCTACGTTGGATCGTTAGAGGTGTTTATAAGATCGGATCGTAGAATCAGATCGAGGATCATAAGATCCTACCAAAAGAAATAAATTACATAATAATTTAATGTAAATAAATATTTCTTAAAAAGTATACACAAAATGAGCCTATATTCTATTAAAAAGAAATGAAGATATTGTGAAAAATATAATACTTTATGTAAAATGTACATATAATATTATATAATAGAAAACTCGATGGTAAAAGTTTTGTATTTCATCAAAAAAGAAGATGAAGAAGAAGAAGAATTCTATAACAAAATACTTTATAATCTACAATAATGCATAAAAAGTGAAGAAAAAATATTTAACAAAGTTGGATATGAAAATAGATTAAGAACTCAAAAGAGCAGCTTAACCGAATGATAAGGTTTGTCGTTAGCATCCCTGGTGGAGCGGATTCAAGACATAAAAATAATCTCTCCAAAAATTGGGATAAAGTAGCAATCATTTTCCCCTCTTTAGACTCCACTAAAACTAAGTTTGTTTTTCCGACTAATTAATTTTCTTAAATTACTACAATATTTGAATGTTTGTTTCCTAATTTGTTTTTCTTAGTCTATTTTATTCAAACTACTTAATTTTTATTATTTATTTTGATCACATAAATTGGTATTTAGACAACAAATATAAAATTTGCAATAAAATATGTTATACAATACAAAACAAGGCTTGTAAATTGGATCAGATATGATCAAATTCAGATCGGGATCCCAAGATCCTATAAGATTCCATTACTAGGATCGCAAAATCCTACCTATAAGGAATTTTTTACACGATTCGGATCGATTATACTCAAATGGATCGTAAGATCGTAGGATCGTAAGATCCGGATTGGGATTCTGATAACCATGACTATCACAAAGTAGGTTTAGAATGGTTTTCATTTAGTGGATATGAATGTCTGTGCATTTTCTTCTTGAATATCTGTCACGACCCAAACCCGCCCCTAATGGTTTAACATCGTAACCGGCCAGTAATCTGTGATTACCGAAGGCCTGAATGACAGTAATAACAGTAATACAATATAAAAGGGCTAGCGGAAGCCAAACAGTAATAGTAAGGTGTCCAATGAGCTGTGAAAACCTGAATGGGAAAAACTTTTATGGACTAATCCAGATTCATAACCATATATATATATATATATACATATCAGATACACATAATATGTAGGTTAGGGATCTAATCCCTTCACCATAACTGTACAACCAAGTCTTAAACATTTGATACATAACAGAGACAAAAGGGTGAATCCGAAACACCCCAAAAACAGCCTTGGCTCGAGCATACTCAGAACCTCGAAGTGAGGCACAACGGTTGGCTGGACAAAACATGAGCTTAACTCGACGTTTCTAGCTTTGGTCCGGTGCCTGGCCACTTACATACGTATATAAACTGTGAGCTAAAGCCCAGTGAATAACAAATGCGTAAAGGGGTTAAGAATGAATGTCCTTTCAGTAATTAAAACAGTCAATTGCATCTGTAGATCAGTTATTCAATCAGTGACTCATAGTCCATGTCATAATAGTCGTTTAGAAGCCATAACAGTCATACGTGGTACATCCAATAGCAGAACAGTACAGTAGGTCTTAATAGACCGAACAATCAGTTGATGGCTATCAAAACAGTAAACAATAGTAGTTCCAATCATTGGAACTGACAGAGATCTCTGTAACAGTAGCAGTAACAGTAATAGTAACAGTAGCAATAGCAGTAATAGTCAATTGCTATGGATGCCACGGGTACAGTTCATAAAATAGGACAAACATTCATTCAGTAAACAATGTCATTTCAGAAAACAGTATAGTCAATTGTTCAAAAAATAATTGTAATTAAACATAGCTTTACAACATTGTTACTCACAGATTACTGGCCTATAGGCAGGCTAATCAGCGTCCTCGGGTGCCAACCCTACATAGTTGCAGAACGAACACACACTAAATTATACACTCGGGGTTAATAACTTAGCCCCTAACTTGACTTGGTGTGGTTCTATAACATTATCCTCATTATGATGCCTTAAACATGGCCTAGGAATGCCTAGGATAAAACGAGGATGCAAAAATGTACTTAAAAACTTTTTCCAAAACTTGCTGAAAACAGGGGTCTCGCTCGAGCGTAGACTCCTTCGCTCGAGCGAGCTTACCAAATGAGAGAGGTCGCTTGAGTGTAGACTCCCTCGCTTGAGCAATCTGCAAAAATGTGAAAAGTACTGGTTGCTGAAATTCTCCACTCGATGCTCGCTCGAGCGTAGGTCTCGTCGCTCGAGCGTGCGTCTGCACACGCAAAAACTTGAAAGCTTGCAATTTACGCTCGAGCCAGCATTCCGTCGCTTGAGCGGAATTCTGAAAACAAAGGTGGTCGCTCGAGTGTGGAATCCTTCGCTCGAGCGGGGAAGCCAAATTATGGGTTTTCTAGATTTGCTCCCAAGCTTCAAACCATGAATCAAACATGCCAAAACTCATCCTTTGGGCCAAATTTCTGGAAAACACTTAGAAACTCATAATACAATATGTTTTAAAGATCATTTCATAAAATCAAAGCCCAAAAGTATGACAATTGAACACCAATTCAACTTCAAATAAAAGAACATGATGTAATTATGCCATGCATGTGTTTATTTGAATTCATAGCTTCTAACACATGATCAAATGAGCCATTCTTTCCAAAAACATGATGAATTCTTAGATTACAACTATAATATGAACATGCATGGAAGAACTTCATGCAAAATAACTTCAAATTCCATGATATAGACATGCATGCATGAATTAATGTTTCTTAAGCTTAAATCTCATATCTCATAATTTAATTCACTTGAAATCATAGGTGATTCAACTTAAATTCAAGACTAGGGACTTGGTTTCCTTACCTTAGATGTTCAAATGGGCATAGGACACTAAAATCTTGAGCTAGATGAACTAATCTCCAAAACTCCTTCAATTTCCTCTCAAATTCAAGCAATACACTTGTTGAATTAAATTTTCCCCTATTCTCCCTCTCTCTCACGTTTTGGGCAAGGAGGTAGATAGAGAATGGTGTCAACCAAAATGAAATCAAACAAATGGCCTTGTAAAGGCCCACCAATGGAAAATGTGTAATAAACTCAAGTTAAAGTAATTTAGCATTATTTATTCTAATTTAATAATTCCAAATCGAATTTTAATTAAACCTACCGTAAAATCATATAAATCCTAATTAGCACATAACACAAATCAATTTCTGAATCGGTCGCCGATAAGGCTTTCAATTCGCAATTCAAAATTAAAACATGAACAGATTATTCTGTAACAAACAGATAGAAATGCAATTAAACAACACACTCACACAATCAATTTGGGGTTTCACCTTAATTAATTATTTATCATGCTTAATCATGAATTAACGCTAATCAGAGGTGAGGGTGGTCACAATATCTGATTGTACTTAGCTTTATCCTTGGGATTATGAGAGTTCTAGTTTGAATTTCACTTGAATGATGGGTCTTTGATTTTGTATTTTTCTGTTTATTTGATTTCTATGTGCTGTATAAATGATAAAAACTATGTTCATGTCCTGTCATTAGACTCCATGATAAAAGAAAAAGAAAATGGGGGAAATTTTACATTGGAGGGGCTTGGCTTATCATTAGCATTCTTAATGTCTTTTCGCCTTAGAAAAGCAACACAATGATACGGGATGTTTGTCTCGTACAAAAACCTTCTGTTGTCTTTGGCAGTGCCACTTTGATGGTTGGACTGGCAGCCTCCAAACTAGAGCTGCACAATGTAAGTGTACATCTTCCATGCTTTGGCTCTTAAATCTTTCTCCACATCATGGACTTTTAATGTCACAAATTAGTAAATGACAATGAAAAACAACCTTGATCAGTTTTTCTTTAAGTATATGTGAACTCAAACACATGCCCAAACATACAAATGCCTACAGTGCATAGTTGAAATTAGTTAGCAATAGAACTATTTTATATTTGGATAAATTATACAGACGTCTAAAAAATGGATTTATTACAGTAGTTGAGCAGGTAAGCAAGTAATTGAGCAGCCTTGGAGGAGCACAAATGTTTTCGAGGCTTCAAGGAATAGCACTGACCGGAGAAAGAAACCAAGGCACAACACCGATAGGCCAAAAAAAATGAAGACACTGCATCCAAAGGAGATGAAGTTGACACTTGAGATCACTTTTGGGGGTGCTTGTATTTGTATGGGGTCTTATGTAGTTTTTATTTGTACGAAACAACCTTCTATCTTTCTTTCTTTGTATTTGTACGGGGTCTCATGTACTTGTATTTGTATAGTATTAATTTTTATAATGAAGCCTATCCAATCAAGAAATGGTTTTCAATTGACTTAAAATTTCAATTGACCAAATACTTGATAACATTTGTAGCCATTTCCTTTCTCACATTTGCAGACCAAATTCTTGGTTAGACCAAATACTTGCTATCATTTACTTTCTCAAAAAAATTGTGATTGAATCTGTTTTCAATAGCCATTTCATATGGAGAAATAGTTTTTTTCTTTTCTTTTTCTTTCTTTAATTGAAAATTGAACCTCTTACTCAAATTCAAATTTAAATTTATAATCCAAACACAACCAAAATCAATTCCTGGGAAGATGAAAATGTAGTAATAGTTCGCTCCACAAGCAGATAGTTTTGCTACTCATTCGCTTCTTCCCTCCCTTCCTCCATCACTATATATGAAAGTTGAATGTAAATTTAAAATAGCAAACTACGTAGACATTCACACCCGATCAATTGAAGAAACTGGAAACATTAAACTCACAAATTAATTAAGAGAATAAACCTGATTTGTAAATAAAACAGTGAAGATATACAATGCATATAGTGAGTGTAGAGAGAAAATAAGCGAGTGTATTTAGAAGCTCCGATGAACTCTTTTCATAAATGCAGCCTCTGCTTCTCCAAAACTTGCTGCTGCTGCTGGTGATAGTAACTACAATGTATATTCCCCCCCCCCCCCCCCCCCCCCCCAAAAAACAAGAACTCAATAGTATACGGTTTTTCTTTTCACATCACAATTCAATAGGATAAATTTTACCTGTCATGAGCTGTATTGCTTGAAGAATGTTTGTATCGGATGTCACTGTTATCAACTTGTGCTGTTCGATTAAGAATATGAAACTGGTCAGATCTTCACACACACACACACACACACACACACACACACACACACACACACACACATATAAGAAAAGAAAATGTATATCTTGAGGTAACAGGAATAACCTGATCAGTCATGATTTCCCCAACTCTTGTGTATTTAGAAGGCCTATCCTCAACAAAAATTCTTCAATATCATTGTATATCAAGATTATCTCTCAAGACATTTATCAAACAGTTGGTTTGCAACACAAAATGTAATACAAATCACAAGAAATGCTTCCAAAATGCAAAATAGAAATTTCAGCAAAAAGTGCTACACAAACACAAAAGTGCTGCACGCTTTGCAAACTCATTTTTTTCAAAGCAGACTACTAAACATGTATAGAACTATGATAAAAACTAAAATTGGATTACTACTAATCATACTAATCCACAAAAGAATCTCTTAACTGATCATTAGTATTTAATGATCAAACATACTAAATCAAACGTGAATATACGACAGAAGCACAGAAGACACAACTAATCCACAAATATAGCTTACAGAAGACAGCATTCTTCAATATGTATATATGGAATTAATTTTAGAAACACAGACAACACAAACATTTCAGAAATAGGAATACAAAAATTAGGAATTTCACAACACAGACAGACCTAGTTATATACGTATACATGTATATATTAGCAAGAAAAATCTGAAATGATGAAATTGACCTCGTCATGGCCACAATCTCGCTTTGCCGTTGTGTTGTGTCCCTCTGCCATCCTCTGTCCTCCGTCGTCGCCGTCGCCGTCGCCGTCTCCGTCGTGTCCCTCCACCATCTTTCTTAGTTCGTTTCTCTATGCCTCTCTCTCTCTCTCTCTCTCTCTCTCTCTCTCTTCATCTAGTGTCTTTCTCTCTCGTCTTTGTTTCTGTTAGGGCTAAACACAAAACATATGAGATTATAGAGGAATATGAAAGTCAAAAAACAGGGAAACTCAAATTTTTGAAGGGGGGAAAAAAAAACCAAGCCAAAATGACGTCATTTTAGCCAAAACGATGTCGTTTTGGAGAGGGTGGCAGGCAGGGCCGCAGGAAAGGGCGGCCGAGGATCCTTACTCCAGATTCTATTCTACACACAGACAGACAGTGCATGCGCAGCTCAGAACAATAGGTTAGATCTTGTTCTTCTTCCAATCTAGTTAAAGAAAAAACAGTTATTAGAATTGTTAGTCTCTTTTTTAACTTTTTTATTTGATTTGTGTTTTTTCATTCTAGTTATTGCTATTCTCATTGATTCTGTGATTGATGATTAATGGGAGATCTGTTATATAAGCTTCTAATATTTGTGATTTGCCAAAGCAAAATAGCTGCCCCCTCTCTGTGTGGGTAATTTTGTGAATCATTTTGTATGGCAGACACAGGTGATTGATTACTGACAAACAACACTATGTGGCTCTCTCTCTCATTCACTTGATGGCATTTGGAAGATGGATATTATCATCCATATTTGTCACGATCCAAACCCGCCCCTCTAGGTTTAGCATTGTAACCGGCCAGTAATCCTGGGATTACCGAAGTCCTTTGAGACATATTGACATAATATTAGGGGCTAACGGAAGCAAATAATAAACATACAACATCCATTGAGCTGTGCACTTATATGAGACAGAAAAATTTGAAACTTTTCATATATATATACATCATTCTTACGTCATCATATATATATATATATAGATTAGACAAAGAGGGACGTAGCCCTATTTAAAAAATAAACAAAGCCTTGTTTAACCAAACAAGAAAACAAAACTTGAACTTTATGTACTTAGCCATAACCACTAGACATATCCGGAACCTCTACGGGAGGCAAAACAAAGTCCAGGCAGAAGCTCTAGGCCTGGTCACGCTACTAACGACCTACATACGTAAATAATACGGTGAGTTGGAATCCAGTGAATAATAACAAAGTAAAGAGTTTTAATGAATGATGTCCGTCATAGAGTCTTATGCATATTCAGATTTCCGTCAGAAACGGATTCATATTCATATTCTTATTCAAATCACATACAGAAAATAGAGTTCATGCTTAATGTTACACAGTATATCCGTTAGCGCTACTAATCACATACAAAGAGTCTCGTACTTGTTAGTTCTATGGAAGAACCTCCGGCCGGGTAAGGATAACTTGTCAGTTCTATAAAGAAACCTCCTGATTGGGAACTTGTAAACTTGTTAGTTCCGCCTAGGAACCTTCAGCCGGGTATAGATAGCTTGTTAGTTCCATAAGGAACCTCCGGACTGGGAACTTGTAAACTTGTCAGTTCCACCTAGGAACCTCCAGCCGAGTACAGATAGCTTGTTAGTTCCATAAGGAACCTCCGGTACCAGGAACTTGTAACATACTTGAATCATAGCATGCATAATGACACTTGTAACATACTTGAATCATACCATACTATCACGTAAATGCTTGTTATTGTTGGACAGTCATTCATAGTATAAAACATGGCATTTTATTCAATAGATCTTATTTCATATACCGAAAATAATTTAACTTGAACATAGCTTTACTAAGTTATTACTAACAGTGTTCAAATGCCTGGTTCACTCTTGTAGTTGACCCTATACAATTCATAATACACATAGAAATTGAGTCACAATACAATTCATTCCGTTCTTTAACTTGTTTAACATTCTTAGGCTTCTTTTATGTTCTTTAATTCATTTACAATGGTTAATGCATGCCTAAGAGTGCTTTGGAAAGAAAGGGAACGGAAAACGAAGTATAGAACAACTTTTTAAAATTTCTAAAACAGGGTTCTCCGCTCGAGCGTTGCTTCGGCCACTCGAGCGGACCTCTTTGGTCTGAAAAGTACTGGTTGCTTGCAAATTACGCTCGAGCGAGACTTTTGATGCTCGAGCGAGGAGTCTAGTAAAACAGGGTACGCTCGAGTGGATAGGTCAAATTTTGGGTTTTTCCAGATTATGTTTGAGGTTCAAAACTTGGTTTCAACCAATGTAATTAATATCATAAGACTCATATTTCCACCACATAACCTTTAACATGAGTATAAGGGCCAATTTTACAGGATTTGAATCTCAAATTTACATAAATCCATCTCATAACTCGAATCATATCAAACTCACTTCATAACTTCAAAGCTCATGCAAATTAATTGCCATGTCATTTGAAATATACATGCATGTTTGTACTCAAATATGCAAACCCATGACAATCCTTTATATGCATGTACACACAAACTTCAAATTCATCAAATTCAACTTAGTTCATGTTTTTCATATCAAGCCCAATTCCAAACTCACAAATTCTAAACTTGAATTGAGCTTTCAAAATAATTTCAAAACTTGGGTTCATACATGGCTTGTCTAAAACATACAAACTCTTAAATAATCAAGAAAATATGATCAATCTTAAATCATTTATATCAAAACTCCTTTAATTTATAAATTAAGCTCATTGTTCATAAACCCATAAATTTCCAAAGCTTAATTCTTATTTTATCAAAACATGAGATCAATTATTAGAAATCCATGATGTATGTACAATTAGAATATTAAAACTTACAGAATTTATCCATGCATGTAGAAATTAGACTCAATTCATGCATGATATTCCAAAATCAAACCCAAAGTAATTAATTTCTTCTTTAACTTCATAAACTTGATCTTGGCTCCAATTCTTCATTTTCTTGTCAATTTTTCTTAGCAAACATTGCATATATGTAATTCCAATAAAACTAACTAATTTAATATATTCAATAACATGTTTAAATTAAATAAAACTCTTAAATTACATTACATGCATGGATTAGAAATTAAAATCAAACCAATTTTTAGGTTTCAAAACAAAATCAAAACCTCAATTAACTCCATGATTAACCCTTTTTTTTTTTTGAACTCAATGTTTTCAAAATATTTTCTTCAAAATCAAATGCATAATAAACTTGTATGGCTCAAATCCTTTCAAAACTCATGGTGCATGCAAATATACATTTCATATATACCAAAGTTTCCAAACCTATGCTCAATTTGGAGAATTTTTACAATTATTTCAATAACCACAAACATGCAAGTAACCCATTTCATGTTTAGAACCCAATTTCCTTCCATAATTTTGAATCCAATTCAATTTCTTCATCATTTTACTAATTCCTCTTAAATCATGAAATTGAAATTATAAACTATTTTAAAGAAATATATTTGCATATATGAAATTAGGATCAAAACTACTGATTTTATATTTTTCCCAAGCAAATCATAATTTAATTATTAAATTACTCTAATTTAGATTTTTATTAATTTTCTTCATATCTAACCCAAATTTACACTCATAAGTCTTTTACACATGAATTAAATCTATAACTTTGAAATTCTAACATGCATGTAAGGATGAGTCTCAAACTTATGAAGAATAATAAAGATCAAACTCAAACTAATTAATTTCCAAATTTATTTCCATAATCTTAAACTTAACTCCAATTTTCTTCATCTTCTTGCTAATTCCTTTTAATTACATGATTTGAGTCTAATTTCATCTTTAATTGTAAGTGTAATGTAAGGATTCTACACAAATTAAGCATAAATTCCATACCTTAAGTTTTCTAATTCTTCTTCTCCTTCAAACCTTGAGCCCCTCTTTCAATTTCTCTTCTTTTCTAGCTTTTCTTTCCTTAGTTTTTTTTTTTTTTTCTTCTTGGGCTGAAATTCCTTCTTTTCCAACAACAAGCAACAAAAATGAAGTGGGTTCTCTCTAGACTCTCTCTTCGTTTCTCTCTCTCAGATTCCTTCTCCTTTCTTTCCTTTTTCTCTTTTTTTTTTTTTCTTCCAGCAAAAGGTTGAGGCCAACCCTCAAAATATTACATACATATACATACCTTCACCTCTTGACCCACACAAGAACACGTGTGCACACACACACTCTCAGAATTGCTCATTACACCCACAGAATTCTCAGCACACCCACACCCAAAATTCTAGTTTGTTCCATAATTTAATTTATGTGTAGGATTCATTTAATTAAGCATCACTTAATCTTAATAAATCTTGATTAACACAAAATTAATTAATTATAACTAATCTCAAATCCCACATAATTTAATTAGTCTAATTGATTTCCATAAGAGCCCAATTAATTATATTTAAATTTATCAATCTGAATCAGATTTTAATTAAACTCCCCAAAAGCTCCAAATATCAAATTGAACTTATTCCTATCCTCAATTTTGCTATCTTAAATCATTTAAGCCTTCAATTTCTGATCAGACTTACAATTTCGTCAATAAATTGCTTATCCAAATTAGGCACCTCATAAATGAATTTAATTCACAATAATCTTAATTCCTAATTCGTATAGCTTAATCAACTTCAATTTGGACCCAATTAATCAAATCTTAAATAATTCAATTCGCCATTTATAGTATCTTTAGCCCCTTAGGCTTTCACTTTCTAATTCCAAAAATCAATTCTCAATAGAATCATATATGAATCAATCTCCACAATTTTCATAAATCTCATATTAAATTAGAAAAAGTGACAATTAAAATTCAAATCTCCTTAATTAATTAAGTGTTAATCATTATACGTGATGGGATCGTCACAATATTTGATAATAAGAATGATTCAGATCAAGAAAAGAAATTCCTGGAAAACGGCAGCATGTTTTTGGAGGATCTCATTTCTTTTTCAAATGGTAAATATAATAGTTCTATTCTTAGATTCTCTATCCAAGAGCTCTCTCAGGCAACAAATGGATTTTGCTCCAATCAAATTGTGTTGGTTGACTATTTTGATATTTATAAGGGTTCTTTTGACAAACGCCCAATTTTAATCAAGAAGCATCATTCACATTTGATTTATGCAAAGCCTCAGGCTACTGCGACATGGTGATTACGTCATTAATGAGTAGTCACAAGAATGTTTTAAAACTAATAGGTTGTTGTTGTTAGAATATAATATGTTAGAATATAATATGTAAAGTGTTTAATAATTATGTTTTCTTCTTTCGGCTCTTTTGGCCCCTTTGTAACACTCTCCCCTCTATAAAAGGAGAGGTACCTTCACATTAGAATTACTTTCAAAACGTTTGTACGAAAGTAAATGCTCATCATCATTAACGTGGAAAAGTAGGCTAAAGATAGCAAATGATATTGCCTATGCTATTATTTACATGCACACTGCGTTTTCTGCACCCATCATCTATAGGGACCTAGAACCAAATAATATTATCATACACCAATCTGGTGTTGGTAAATTATTGGATTTCTCCGTCTCTATATCAATTCCTCCTGGAGAAACACAGGTGGAAGACAAGGTAGTTGGGACAATTGGATTTATAGATCCTAAGTACATATCAACGGGCTTTTTCACTGAGAAGTCCGATGTTTATAGTCTTAGCATGATTCTTCTTGATCTTCTAATCGGGAAAAAAGCCATACACTTGTACCATGACACAAATCAGCGATCCATAGTATCATGGGTGAAAGACTCTGTAGAAAAGGATCAGTCCAATGAAATTGTGGATCCAAGAATTCTGAAAGAAAGAGGAGGAATTGAGGAAGAACAACAATTACAAGCTGTAGGAGCACTTGCCTTGAGATACACCCAATATAACAAAGAAGATAGACTAGAAATGATTGATGTCACAAAAGAACTCAGGCAAATGCTCAAGTCTGATTGCCCCTCCTCCTCAACTCGACCATAATAATCCTCCATTTCTAAGATGATGATGGTGATGACTACGATGGCTATATGCTTCATACAATTATATATGCATCGTCACCAATTCATACAATTATGTATTACACATTATTATATATGCTACTACTCATCTCTCTCATTGTTATATATTGTTAAATCATTCTGTTTGGCTCTATATTGTTTGTGAGGTAGAAAACTTTTGCTCTACAAAGTGATTATTCAGAGTATATATACATATAGTAACTATTTTAATGTTATGACATCTTGTGTGGTTTGTTCTGATTACTGAATTGTAGTCTCACTGTATGTCTTATTACTAAGATAAATACCAATTGTGCAGCCTGTGTATTTTTTTCCCCATCTTTCCATTACATTCACACCCCATTCCACAACTAAAATGGTAGGGGGGAAAAAAATTTTTTTTTTTTTTTTTTTGGGTAGATGTAAAGCCAGTTTGAACATACTGCAGGGTCCTTAACTATAATTTTTTTTTAATAGATGTAAAGCTGTTAAGTGTAGCACTGGCATTACTGTTGAACAAAGCAGTCTATATTTGCTCTTATTGATTTTGGGCTTGCCAAACAGCCCACTACATGGTTAATTGAACTGGGAAAATACAGCTAAACTGAGCACATCAACATCATTGGAAGCTCATGGAACAGATTTGCCCTATGCCTCCTTGCTACGGAGTAGGATTCTGATTTGTTTACATTAGTATAGTTATATTTTGGGCCTTCTTTTGCAATTTATGAGTTGGGTTGGCTTTGCAATGGCAGGTTTAAGATTGCAACCCAATTGTTTGGATCATAAAATTTATTATTGTTAATTTATTTTAACGAAGGAAAAAGCCCAAAAAAAAAAAAAAAAAAGAAAGAAAGAAAAATTAATAGTGAATACTAATTTTTTTTTTTTTGGCAAATTACTTACCAGTCATTTTTAAAAAGTGTGTATTCTATTTAATCTCAAAATCTTTTAGATAAACCCAAAAGTTTTGCACTCATTTATCTTCTCATTTTTCTTTGCACCTTATTTTTTTCTCTTTATCTCTCTTTCTCTGATATTTTGGTGAAGATCACCACCGCGTCTTCTTTCTTTTCTTTCTCTTTCTAATCTACATTCTTTGCACCTTATTTTTTCTCTTTACCTCTCTTTCTCTGATATTTGGGCTCAGATCACCACCACGTCTTCTTTCTTTTCTTTCTCTTTCTAATCTACAGTCACTGGCGACCAATGACTACCATTAATTAGGGTTCACCGATAAATATTGAGCACCGACTCCTTGTTTCGCGCTCACCGATGGTGAAGGAGATAAGTACTCAAATCTAATGTAAATCTATTTAGATCTACATCAGATTTGAATAGATCTACGCCAGATTCTGCTAGATCTAAACTAAAAATAATTGTCGGAGTACAACTCTCTCTGTCTCTGTCTCTTTCATTCGATCTCTCAATTTTTTTACTTTTTCTGTAGTACACATTTCTATTTTCCTGTTTTAATGGAGAAAATTGTTAAGTTCTGAATAAGTTGTTTTTTACTTTTAGTTACAGGCGGTGAAATCTGAATAAGTTGTTTTTTACTTTTAGTTACAGGCGGTGAAAACAGTAAAATTTTACAGTTTTAATTTTTTTGCTGCTGAAATGAATCATTCTTTAGAACTGTAAAATTTTACAGTTTCATAACTTTATTTAGAATTGTAAAATTTTTATAATTTCATAACATATTTTTTAGTTTGATTAATAAGAATAAATACTTAATAAAATCATACATTGAAACTGTGACATTTTATAGTTTCAAAATTTGTGTTTCAGTTTGATCAATATTGGAGATTATTTATTTAAACTCTACAAAAATTGAAAATAATTTATATTTTTTCCCATTGTTGTTTGTTATTATTACGTTTTTTTTTTCTTTTCTTTTAGTTTATCAATATTTAGTACATTTTGATATTTTTTTGCTCTAATTTCTCAATTTATTATTTTTTTTACTGACAATATTCTGGATATTCCAGTGAGTCTCCGACTATATTCTTGACATCTAGCAAACATTCTAGACATTCGGTGACTTTTAATGACATTTAGAACACTCCGGCAATACTCCCGTGAATTTTTGGTGATGCTCCGGTGACTTTCCAGGGACGTTAAATATTTCAACAAGTCTTTGGTGACCGTCTGACGGAAATCCGACGGTGGTGGGATGTAGCAGCATCTTTAAATTTTAAAAAAAAATAAATTTGGTAACAATTAAAAATATATAGGACTAACTGGAGTAAGTGTTTTGTTTTGAAATTAGATGAATTTTAAACTTTGTGTATAAAATCTATCGGTAAGTTCCCTTTTTTTAGATGGTTGTGAATATTTATTTATGTAGAGAGAAATAACAAGACAGTGGGGTCATAAAAAAATAATTTTAAATAAGTGACAAATATTATAAATATTAGTAATTATAATTATAATTTTTTTTCATAAATTTATAATAATTTTTAAAAATTATCACTAAATGACAATTTTTCCATTTATATATTGGTTGAGAAAATTATTATGAGATTGGGAGTCCCATTTAGATTGCTAATCCTCTCATAAGGGTGGGGACTAGCCTATAGGAGGCTTAGAATCACGGGAATGAAAGTGAAAATTTTATTTTACTCTCACTTTATAAAAATAATAAAGTTACTAATTAAACAAATGTAATTTAGATAATCTCATTCAATTTTTTTTTTTTTAATTCGACAATCAAACATCATTGCTAAATATGTGTTACTCATATGCACTAAAAATATATTATATTAACATGCTATTTACTATCTATAAATAAAAAACTATTATATTTTATTTTTCATTGATTTGATAAAAATAAAAATCTAACATATTTTAATCTTGTATCACAATCGACGGATTTAAATCACTAAAAACTGATCCAAACGATTTGGTTTGTCTTATATGCAAGTAAAAACCGTTCGGACCAAGTTGGACATCTAAATCGAATTTTATATTTTATTTTTATTTTTATTTTATATGAATTTGTCTAAGATGGCGTTGATATAGGATTTTAGCACACTGGAGATAGGCACATGGGATTAACCTTGGTTTAAAATCAATAAAAGTCAAACAACAGCGAAGATATATATTATCCCATACCAATTTAGTTTTAACAAAAGCCTCGTTTGAAAAGTAGTTATTTTTTAGATTTTTTGGTTATTTGATTATTTTAATAGGTTATTTTAATTTGTGTGTTTGGGAAGATGGATGAAAATATTTTAAAATGATTGTATTGGAGAGAGTGTTTGATATGATGTTTTGTTATGAAATTACCAAACTGCCCCCAGATCACCAGATCGGCGTGCGTTGGTCTCAGCTCGGCAGAAGGCTTGACGTGGACGTACGGACTGCACTTTTGTCCAAGTTGAATTGTGTAATTGAAATGCTAACTGTAATTGAAAAAAAAAATTGGAAATAATTCTACCCATTGTTATTTAATTGGAAAAAAAAAAGATTGTTACTTTTAATTGAAAAAAAAAATAAACAGACATGGGTAACAAAAAATAAAAAAGATTATTATTTATTTTAATTGAATTGTAATTTTTAACATGTACAGATAACAAAAAAAATATATGTAAAATTTATACACAATTAATTATATATATGAACACACCTTCAGTCATTTATTAAACCTAACTCATTAATTTATTAAAATAATTTATAATTCTTTTGAAATTTAATATAATTTATAATTCTTTTGAAATTCATAATTTATTAATAATCATCAGTTTATACATATTTATAATCATCAATGTAGGCCTTCTTTTGATATTTATAGTGTGAAAAATACATATTTTTCTCCAATTATTTACTTGTCAATTAATTTTCTTTTTCAAATAAAAATTCGGAATTTACTTTTTTTCCAAATATGAAAATTTTGGCCATTACATTTGTTTGAATGTTTTTTTTGCAATAATTTGTTTGCAATTTATGATTTGATATTTTTTTTTCAATAATTTGTTTTCAATATATAGAACATAATTTTACGTATTTCTAATGAACATAGGTAATTAGACTATGTTATTCCTTTTTGTCTTGAAGGAAGAAAACTAGAATCCTTGATTTAATTTTTTTTCTAAAAAAAAAAATTTACTATAATGCGATGTTGGTTGTAGGCATTGGGGGTTTGTGCTTGCTTCATGGTCCAAGCATCATAGTTTTTGTGTTGCTGCGGTTTTATGGTAGAAGTTTGGTGTATAAACAGTACTGTTCTTGATGTAGTTGTTCTCAACTCTGTCAAACTTCCTTTCATTTTTTTTTCTGCATTTCTACTTCATATGTCATATGACCTTGGTCTTCAAGTTGAGAACATAAAAATCATTTGTAGTGTTTGATTGATCATTTTTAGCAAGCGTGTCTCTTCAGTTGATGAAGATTGAAGCTCAATCCGAATCATTTCCAATTGATTATATCGATTCATTTAATTTTTTATCTCTTTTTTACACCCAATCATCTGCGTACTTATATATGTATATTTTATTTTTGTAGATGATCACAGATGCAAACATTCTTTTTGTTACAACTGCGGATCTCCTCTAATAACCCACTACTGTAGTAAATGTAAGCATTAAGTCCTCATAGATGCCAGCCTTTTTGCTCTTCTACTGCAAGTTAAAATGTAGAAAAGTAGTGCATGATATGCGCAGATAATGGAAATATTATTATTTAGGTGTATATATGGAGTCATTGGAAAACAAATCAGGGCATTGAAACTGCTTCTTAGCTGGTCCATTAAAATTTTAAGATATGATATAAAGGGCATTGATTTTGTGTCGCCCGCCCATCTTCCTGGTCCTCTACTGGCTTTTGCTTGAATACTTTCATGTTTTGTACCAGTGTTGAAGGAAAATTGGCTATTCTGACATTTTTTGTGTGCCATAATAAAACAAATAAGTAAACCTAGTTTACGTCTCATTGGAGGCTTTAGATTCATGGACCAACCTTTGTGCATCATAATCATAATCATAATATACATAAGCTTATTAGTATGCAAATTCATGGTTTAGGCAGATGGACAAGTTTATTCATTGTGTCAACCTTGTAATAATTGTTATAGGCCTTGCTCAATCTGAGTGAATTAGAAAGACAGCAGCCTGTATTTTCATTTTCCCTTGTGCTATCAGAAAGGTATTACTCCATTTATAGTTCTTTGACATGTATAACTCCGACATAAAGTATAAAAACACAATTGTTTTTGAATAAGATCATAGTAACTGTTTGTGCTCTTTGCATGAAACTAATCATAAATTCATCATTTTGAAGGCAGATGTATCATCATCACCATCATCAAGGAAAGAACATCCACCCCTCCTCAAGAGGGTCCATTCCTCCAGAAAGGCATTTGTTCCTGCAATGGGGGAATGGTGCAGGAGATTCTGGACTTGTACCTTCGACCAATACAAAGCCTAGACTGAAATGGACAAAAGACCTCCATGAGCAGTTCATAGAAGCAGTAAATCAGCTTGGAGGAGCAGACAGTGAGTGCATACAACATAATAAGTTTAAGAAGAAACCAAAGGAAAAATGTCTAATGCTCAACTAATTGAAATATCTCTTCTTTGTTACAGATATTTCAATTAGTTTTGAAACTTATTAGTTGAGATATTCTTTGTCTCAGATTTTTATTTTTATTTTTAGGGGATTTTCATATTCATATACTTGTATATAAGCACACAGATTAGAATAACTACTCCAATTTTGGTTTGGCAGAAATACAGGCTCAGTAAGAATCTCCATGGGCACTCTAATATTGGAACAAAAAAAATTGGTAAGAAGTTCAACAATTATGGAGTATAAATTATTTTGAGCTACACCAACTACTGGCAATGGAATAGCTTACAGAATTTAGGAATGGTTGTAGTGGCAAGAGAAAGGATGTCTGAGGCAAATGGAACTCATGAGTAATTCAAGCATTGAAACCCAAAACAAATAAGTAAGATCTCAAAACCCATTTCATGTTCTTTCTGCTCCTTTATCCATTTCTTTATTTTCTAAAAAATACTTGAACTGATACGCTAATTATTAAACCTTTTATTTAGAAGCTTACATATTAGCGAAGCAATACGGATGCAAATTGAAGTGCAGACAAGGCTACATGAATAGCTTGACGTACAAAACACTGAGAAATTTCTTGTGTGTACAATTATAAGAAGCCTTTCTTCAATGCTATAATAAAAAAATTATGCACCAATTCAAGATAAATCTAGATGTCACTTTAATCTAGAAGACATTACATGAAATGGGAAGAAAGAAACAAACAACAAACAAGTTAACCAATTATACAGATGCATAGCTATACTACCTTTAATCAAGAAAGAATATTAAAACATATTTATCAGATATTA